TAAGTGGGACTATAAAAAAAATCTCTCCATCTTTGGAGAGATTTTGAACCGAAAATGAGAATGCTTTAGAAGATTTCCAAATTTGCTTTCCTAAGTTTTTTAAAGGGTAAAATAAACATTTTGTTTATTCTCATCGTAAATCTAAACATTTGAGGTTATGAAGTTAGACAAATTTTTACCTGATAGTAAAGTTTATACTCATCTTGTGAACATCAGTAATATCATAAAAGGATTGAACTTTTCACAAAAAAAAAATCTACTTTATACTCCGTAGTTTGTATAGATTAATTTTTAAAATAATAAAATGCATCCCTTACCTAAATTATTAGCCTACACACAATGGCGTAAATCACTTATTCCCGTAACTTAACGTTCCTCCCCATCCTCCGCACTCACGAAATTTTGTTTGCTTTCTACTTCCCCCAACTCCGTCTCTGTATCAGCCCCGGATCTGAATCCGCCATAGATTATTAGATCGGGAGAGATCCTGCATCAATTGATCTCTCACCTTCATTCTTCGGCCGTTCCGTTTACCGGTTGAACGAGCGGAGCAGACGAGCGCATCCGACCTCAGAGACAGAAGAGGAATATGAACGTCCACGGCGGCGGAGGCGGCAGAGGAGTGGTGGAGTGCAGCGTTTGTCACTCCAAGTTGGGAATCTCGCCCCACTCCAAGGCCGTGTCCAAGGCCTACGATCGGCACCGGACTGACGTGTCCTTGAAATCTCGCGCCTTCAACGTCTTTTTGGTCGGCGGAGATTGCATCCTGGTCGGCTTGCAGGTAAGCTTTCCAATCTCAGCTCATCTGTTGTGTAATCACTTCTTCTGAATGCTCCTGAACTTATCATTTCAGATTTTGATAGACTATTTGCGTTGCTTAATTTATTGTTTGTGCTCGTTGCAGCCTATACTGGTATACATGTCAAAAGTGGATGGAAAGTTTAAGTTTAGTCCCATTAGTGTTAATTTTTTGACCGAGATTGCTAAAGTTATCTTTGCATTGGTGATGCTCTGTATACAGGTAATATCGTATTTCTGATATGATTATCTGGTTGCTTTACTATCTCTATTTCTTGTTTAAAACCTTGTACCATTTGCAGAGTAGGCATCGGAAAGCTGGGGAAAAGTATTTTCTCTCTCCTTCTACATTTATCCAGGTTAGAATGGTTGATGCCGTAATTCAGTTGTTACTCTGATTGGGAGAGAATGACAAAAGAGCAAGTTAGTAATAGAACTACAATTTAAAAATTAGAATTTCACCTTGTATTAGGATTGCAGTTCTTTAAAAAAATAATTAATGTATGTTTTCCTAGAAGTATTTTTGTTATTAGATACCTTGCTTCAATCATGGTCTGTGTTATACATAAAAACTAGAGTAATGCTATGGCACCCTGAGGGTGTCCCTGACCTTGCTCCCCCCCCCCCCTTTCACACAGACACACACATACACTGAACACATGTCTCTCAAAGGTGGGAACACGCTTGGGGTCACACTTAGGGTTCCCCTAGCCTAGTTCTAGCAATTACTCTGCACAGTTTCCTCCTTATACCTTGTAATTTTTTCTTTCAAGATATGGAGTAAAGAATTTCATTTTGTAAAATATTTATAGTGCATTTTTGTGGTGATTTAACTACAACTTTTTCTTATGATCAATGGGGTACCAAAAGTTCATGTGTTCCTCTTCCTGTTGCTTGCAGGCAGCAAAAAACAATTGTCTCCTGGCTGTTCCAGCTCTATTTTATGCTATTAACAACTACCTGAAGTTCATCATGCAGGTAAGCTTTTTGGAAGTTTTTGTTGGAAATGGTTTTTAGTTTGAAATTGATGACCCTTGAAATATAGATGCTGAACTTCAAGTGTCTCAGAAGTTACTATGTATATTTTGGAATTGAATTTTTTTCATGAGTGTACCATGTGCAGTAGCATACGGATAAAAAATAACATAACAGGATATCTAACGCTCCGTACTACATATTAGCTAATTTATTTCATTTGAAACCCTATCTCATTTTACTGTTATGTAAGTATCTCAAGATCATTAATTCCTTAATCAATAATCATGCATAATAAGCATTTTGCCTTTTCTGTTAATGTCAATTTCACTTTGTAGTAGTGAAAGGGCAGGTGCATTTGACTAATACAAAGTTTTTATTACTCCGTATTGTTCTTTGATGGATTCCTAGTTCTAAAACATGTTTCCCTTGCAGCTGTATTTTAACCCCGCAACAGTGAAGATGCTGAGTAACCTGAAGGTATTAAAATCTTTGATGTCTCTGGGTAAAGACTGAATTGTGTAATGTCTCAGGTTTACATTAATATTTTTGTTCTTTCATTGTAAGCTGTCTGGGAAATATCCCTGCTACTAATCTTGATTCACTTAGATACTTCCCTGCTCAATTATGGCAGCCTTTTGTGCACAGGCTTTGTATAATTTAGAGCAAAATATTCAAACAAGACCCCCCCTGTTAATCTAAGCATCATCTATCTTGAAGAAACACAATCAATTTTAGGTGACTGAAATGGAATAAAACTATTCTTTTTATTAGTATTGATTATATTCACAGAAAAGCAAGAGACAGCTTTCAGAGAGCTCCAAAATGATTTTGAAATGAAATAAATTATATTGAACAATCATTTTCAGGGTGGTTACTATAGTTGAATATCACGTTCAATTCTATCTGGATGTTATGGAACTGGGAAAATGTTTTGGTTGTTCTCCTGATTCTGGATTTCTAATTAATGGGTGACATTATGACAAGATTTCTTTGTATAATAAAATTTATAAGCCCTGCCTTAGTTCTTTCTCCTCTACTTAAAGTTCCATATTTTATGGTTTGTTTACAGGTTTTGGTCATAGCACTTTTACTAAAGATAATCATGAAAAGACGCTTTTCCATACTTCAGGTGAACTGTGAAAGTTTTTCTTTTTGGTTCGTATATGGTGTGATAGATTATGGTCTATCATTTTTTATGTACTTATCTATCTGTAAAAATCCTTCACATGCTCACCTCCCTTTGTCCATGATTCTTTTCTTTACCAGTGGGAAGCTCTTGCACTTTTGCTTATAGGTATTAGTGTGAATCAACTGCGGTCTCTGCCAGAAGGATCTACAGCTATTGGGCTTCCTGTGGCAACAGGAGCCTATCTATACACACTAATTTTTGTAAGTAACCGTAAACCATTTGATTCTACATTTATGCCTACTAATTTCATCTTTAAACAAACAGCTATGGAGTACTACTGATTTATAGTCCCTCCGTCCAAAA